TTGATTTTCTCAGGTTGATTTCCTTTCTTGATTCTGATTTTCAGTTTATCATTGAGATGGATGCCCCCTTCATTTCGACTTCCAGCTTAGCTGCACCCTGAGTGTAGCTCAGGGGCCTGAGTGATACTTGTTGAATGATCTTTACATTTTAAAACAATTAAAAAGAACCAAAAAACAAAGTCCAAGTGTTGAGAAGGCACCACTTCTATTGCCAATTCTCCCATCTCCATCTGTGCTGCCTAAAAGTGTCTGCTTTCTGTACTTACAAGACATTAGTCTTTTGGCACTAACATCCAGCACAAATAATGTGGATGTAATAATAGCAAATGATTTGGCATGTGCATCAATGTGAAAATAGGGTTTACAAATGCACAGTAATGTATCCTGCAAGAATACATCATCGTTTTAAATATGTTTCTTGAACATACTTATGTTCAGTTGAGAAAACATCACATCCATTATTAGAAAGGTAGAGTGTTTCTTCGTATTCTGGGAGGATGCTTGATAGATGATTGCTATATTTAGCCATGGAAGCTAACATCTCACTTAAGGTGGAAAGAACTTTCTGTCCAGGGAGAAAACTAAGAATTGAATTGAATTGAATTTTAAGTTCTCTGCTTAAAAGGAGATATAATAATTAAGACAAAACTAAAGTAAATGGATAAAAGGATCAAACAATAATATTCAGATACATTCAGGGTTTGAAGCTGGAAAATAAAAATCAATAGAATATTTATCATTCATGCATTTCTTTGTTCAAAGCATTTCTTTCTCTCTTGACCAATTCAAGATACTAGTTCGGCTTATGAACATCTATGGAACCAAGCAGGGATATTGTTAATGAGTAATGTGGGGGGTGGGGCGGGTAGCGGTGATAGTGGGGAGGTGGATATTTCAAGAGATGGGAAATCCAAGACTAGAAGAAGAAAGTAAAGAGTGACAAAATCTCATCTCAGAAGCCAAACGTGGAGAATTTTGTTTCTACAACCTGGAAACTCAGGGAGAAAAGAGCAAGAATAAACCAGGTTGGTGGGCAAGATTGATGGGCCTGGTGGTAGTATTCCTGATGTAGAACAAGCACTGCTCTTCAAAGTTCCTTTTTATTTGCTCCTGGGGTATAATGAAGAATCAACTGAATTTAAAAGTCCAAGGACAGTCTCAACCTTTGGTCACTTAGTCACTTGCTGATTGATTCATTAATGAATTGAGAATACAGTTACTCTAAACCTACTATGTGCACTATGCAATGTGATTGGAATACTCCACCTGTCTTAGTCCATTCAGGCTGTTATCACAGAATACCACATGCCTCACTATAAACGACAGAAATTTATTTCTCATAGTTTTGAGGCTGGGAAGTTCAAGATCAAGGCACTGGCAGATTTGGTGTCTAGCAAGGCCCTGCTTCTTCGTTCATAGGCAGCTGTCTTGCTGTAACTTCACATGGCAGAAGAGGCTAGGAGCTCCCTTGGGGTCTCTTTCACAATGGCACTAATTCCATTCATGAAGGCACAACCCTTGTGACCTAATCACTGCTCAAAGTCCCCCATCCATACCATTGCATTGGGGATTAGGTTTCAACATGTGAATTTTGGAGGCACACAAATATTCAGTCCATAACACAACCTTTATTATTTTAAATTTATATATGTAAATTTTATATAAAATATATAAATAAATAGATGGTAGACACAAAAAATACTGAAAATACTTTGAAGATTAAGAGAAGGTTTCTCAGAAAATGCTTTAACTGGGCTTTGAAGGATAAACAAGAGTTTCCTAAGCTGAGGAAAAGTGAGCCTAAGGGTTCCATTCAATCTTATAACTCTATTAAGATTGTGTTTGTCCTACCTTCTTTATCACAGCCTGAATCATCTGCCAACTCAAGTCGTTGGCACAATGTAGTGGGTAAAACTGAAAAAAAATTTTAAAGATGTCAGGGAGAGAAGGGTAATGAGGCAGGTAGATGGAAACATTTTGCTGGGGTTTATATTTCTCCATTCAGTGGTTAGGTGGTAGTAATGGGGCCTAGTAGACTACTATTTCTTCACTTCAAACCATCTTCCATCTTGTACTGGAGCACTTTGTACTTCATGGTAACATAAGGAACAGTCAGGTAGTAAAGAGACAGTATAAGATGATGGTTAAAAGTCCTGACTTTGGATTCAAGCAGTTCTAAGGTCTAAGCGTCTTCCCTTCTCTGGGCCTCAGGTGTCTCATATTATAAACTGAAGGCATGGGACTAGAGGAGCTTCAGTGGTCCCTTCAGCTCTGATTGACATTCATGCCAAAAGGAATACGACATTGCTGTGTGATAGCCAAGGGGTGGTTCTGTCATCCAGTACAGAACTTTCTAGTGTTAGGGCTGGGAGGGGCCTTGCAAGTCCCTTCTTTTACAGAGGAAGAAACCAGAGTTATGTCTCAATCCTTCTGAATATCATTTTTATAGCAGCTACTAATTATTAATTATTAATAGCTTGTGATTCTTTAGAGAGCAGGAAAAATGTTTATTAAGTGAATTTGGAAGTAATTGGGTAGGCTAAATAAGAAGTTTGCTAGTCATACTACACAGGCATAAATTTAAATCAGATGAAAAACATGTTCATCTCACATTTTAAATCAAGACAGACTTTAGGTGCTTAAGAGAAGGCCTGGGAGTCTCAGCATCGCCGTCTTACAACCCCAGGGCCTACACCTCAGTATAAGATGGAACCCTCTGTGAAGAGCAGCGGTTTGGTTCCATCTGTAACTGCATTCTGTGTTTGCTCCCTTCACAGTCCAGTAGAGTCTCAGTGGGGCAAATGATGAACAGAAAAAAAGACAATGTAAAAAGTGCTAGAAAATACCTCTTGTAAATAAATACTTTCTAAAAATATAGCACATAAAAATCTATTAGTCTTCCTTTTTTTGGTAAACTGTAGTATGTCAATATCATCAGCAACTGACCGGTCATGAACTCCCAAGTCGCTGCTGATAAAGCCCTTGTGTTAATACACCTGTGGGATCCATTATGCTATTGTATTCTTTTGCTGTTATTTAATTTCAGTTGGTCTAAATTACTCATTAATCTTTCCCTCCATTTTTAATAGCAGGGCTTTTGGCACCAGTAAAGTAGCTAATTGCTTCATTTCTGCATTTCACTTTGGGTAGCCACAGCCACTATGTGAATTGCAATTTGAATATAAATACAAACCAGAAAGATTTTCACCAAGTAAGAGCACTGGTAATGAAAAAAGACAAGTGATACACTTGTGCCACATCAATCAACAGTGTATTATGAAGGTTGCTTATCGCTGACAACACATTTAGTATGGTTACCATTTCCCAGCCTTTCAACAAGAACTTCCGATTGTGTTTATTAAGTGAAATAAATAGAGTTCTGAAACAAAGTTTGCAGTACAATATGAATAGTAAAAGTCCTCCAAGCAAAGAATGCCTACAAATTTGTATATCACTAGAGAGGGGTGTAATGAAATAGATCATCAATAGACTTAACTTCCAGTCTGTTTGTAATTTGTTACTTAAGAAAAGTTATTTTTCTCCCACTGGGCCTCATTTCTCACTTTCGTCTAATAAGTGTTTGGGCTACAAAATTTATGAAGTTTATTCCAGTTGTGAACCTCCAATGTAACACCATGAGTCCACAGACTTATAGTATGCACCAGCCCCTAGACTAGGACCTGGGACATCATAGGTTCTCAATAAGTATTTATTTAACGAATGAAGGACAGACTGGTTAATTTGCTAACTTTCTAGGACTGAATATTCATGTGCTATTATTACAAAAAAATTTAAGCATCTGTGTATTTGGAATTTTTTGTGGGGGGAGTATAGGGTGAGGAAATGGCTTTATTCAAATATCTACATTGTTTTGAAGCAGCATTTCTATGGTGCCTCTTTGGATTAAAACTTGCTGTACATTTGGTCCATTCTTAGTACCAGAATTCAAGGATTGGGTTGGTCTTTATAATGATTCCAAGCAGATTCAAGAAGTTACTTTTGCATGTTATTTTACCAGGTTATTTCTTATCCCCAGAGTGAAAAGGGGCAATTAGCTGAAAAGTTTTATCTTCTAGTTTCTTGCTTGGACCGATTATTTTAACCAAGTGTCAACTTGAGACCTAGACATTAATGAAACTGGCATACCCCATTTCAAGTGGGCATTATGCCAGTGTAACAGATGGGCCTTGAAATTGTCAGTTGATCGCTTGTATATAAATCTCTAATGTTGTCCAGTGGACAAAGTCCTTAACAAGAAATGTCAAAAATGTTTGTCACTTGGCTTAGAGATGCCTTACCCATGCATCATTACTCTGCTGCACTACTATGCAAGCCTCTTTGGACTTTTAATAGCCCTCCAGAGAAATCACTGTTAAATATGTGGACAGGTAGCTCCATGGAAAAATATATCCTGATGGCCTGCATCTTCTTCTACCCTTTCACATCTTTCATAGGATGTTTCTTTCCTCCATTCCTTCCCTGCAACCCGAACCAGTTCTATTGAAACTTTATCACTCGAAGACTGTTCTTTCACTTTCACTCAATGAAGACAATGAGAATCTCACACCAAGTAAGCAATTAAGATACGTTTGCTCCCTGATGGACACTATCTAATCTCTAAAATATTGTCATTCTCACATGGCTTTGCTGTCTCGACTCACCATCTTCTTGTCCTTTGACATTTTTGCCATCTTCCTTATTCTTCCTTCTCCTATAAGCAATTTCTTCCTGCCTCCTATGCTGTTTGTGAAGGCACGGCCTGCCTATTAGCCTGCCTAAGAGGGATACCTGAACTTAGGTTCAGAAAAATCTGAACCTAGGCCTGATTATTTATGGTCTTTGCCCAAAAGTAAACACTGGGCCCATTTGTTAACTGACTTTCTGCCTCACAATGATCGTGCTGCCTCTTACCGGACACTTATGACCTGGTTTATGCCATCAACATAGCTAATTGATGCCTCTCAGTTGCCAAGGGAATTGGCTTTATGGCCATGAAAAGAGCTTTATCTCATTAAGCTCATTCATTTACTCATCAGTATTAAATAAAGCCTTCTAAGTGCTACATACTCTTCTAGAAGATGGAGGTACAAGAGTACACAAAATGGACATGGTCCTTGTTCTTGTGGAACTTAAATTTTGGTGACAATTTGGAATTGACACCCTGAGCGGAGACTGAGCTGACCACCTGTCCCCTCTCACAGTGAGTACTCATTTATAGAGGTGAGTTGACCTCAGTACCATCACCAAAAATTGTTCCAAGTGGCCAACTGTTATTTTTTATAATAGATCATTCAGTTTTAAAAGATGAATAGTAAGAAAATAATTTGGCACAAAGAAAGACCACAAATTCCTCTCAATTTACATTCTGCACTTCTGGAAAAACAGGGTGAGTATATGGAAAAAAAAGTTGTGTGAGCTGGTAAGTAACTTGACGTATTAGTAAGTCTTTCTAAATTGTTAATTATAATGTAATGCATTGCCATTAATTAATTTAATCATTTATATTGTTTCTGTACATTGTAATAGGAAACAAAGCTAGAAGAATCTGAATATGCACACATAGAAAATAAATTACATGAGTTGACTAGAAATAGGCTGGAGTCTCAGTCTTAAAGGTGCTGTTCTCATTCAATGGTGCAATATAACTAATATGGCCATAATTTTATGACCGTATTTGGAATATTTAAATTTAAATTTAAAATTATGTTGTGACAATAGGTGTAAAAGGGGAACATCTTGAGCAAAACAGAGTGTAAGGTCACCTCAAATACAAAGGACCTAGTTCCACCTAATTCTTGACATTTTTGAAATAGCAAATTGCCAGGCTACTAGTTTATTTCCTCTATTCCAGGTTTACCTTTAAGTAAGTTCATCATAACAAGGTCAAATGATTTCTTATTAACACTTTCATGAAGCAATAACTCCTTTAAATCCTCTCCCACTTTCAAATGGGGAGGGATTTGACCCTTTTCTTAATGGGGGGGCCTTAAAGGCTCCCAGCCTCTCATCCTTGGCCCAAATGGATCCAGGACCCTAATGATAGTGAGTATAATTTATTGAGTGATCAGTACTTTAGGCATTTTCATATGTATTAGGGTCAGCCCTTATAGCATCTCTGCCTAGAAGATGATATTACTCACATTTTCAGAGGAAGATGTGTCTCATACAGACTGAGTAGTTTGTCCAAGATGTTAGAAGTCACAAATAATAGGCAAATAATAGGCAAGCTGTATGTGAACCTACGTCTGTCTGGTGCCAAAACCTATTTTTTTCCACTATGCCCTACTGTCTCTCTACCCAAATTTATGACAGAAAACTCATGTGTTAGAAAGAGTTATGATATCTTCAAGGTACTCTGGAGTTGGATCTCTGGCATTGAGCATTTCTCTGCCTCCTTCTATTTTTCTCTTTTACATTGAAGGTTCACATCTGGTGGAGAAACCTGGACAATGATAATAACTTCTCATGTTCAAAGCCAACTTTTGGGGTCTCATGTGTTTCTTCCCTCCACCCATATCCTGACCCTGTGAAGATCAGGCCTCAAGAACTAGTTCCATGTGTCTCCTCCAGGAAACTTTCCTAAAACCCCAACGCTGGCTAACTGCCACCTCTTCTGTACTCCCACTCCACCATGACAATCTTTGTCTTACACCTTACCATATTCAAAAACATCGTTTAATGTTTCTATCATAGCTAATAAGCTTTATGCTTCTGTGGGAAAGAGATCATGTTTTATTCATACTTTAACCTCTCTGTGCCTCAGGTTGCTCATCTTTAAAATAGAGGTAATAATAGTACTAACCTCATGTTTTATAAAGGTAAAATTAACTGAAACATTTGGAATCTTTATACTGCTTGGCACATAGTAAGCTCTGAGTAATGTTAGCTCAATATTATTATCATTATTAATTGTTATTATGGTGCTATAGTCAATGTTGCATAGTAAAGTGCACAAAAACATGTATATAAATACTATCAATTCAACAAATGTTTATTATTGTTTCCTATGTTCAAGATACTTGGTAGACCACAATGGAAAATCAGGGGTCTATTTTTAAAGATTAGGGTGGGGAACAAGAATAAGATATGCTCATAAGTAATTATGATATCAAATAAAAAGTAGTAAGTGATGGAAGAGAAATAAAGATATAGAATCATCAGTGTTCTCAACAAAGAATATTCTCAGACTGAATTGGGGAAGATTGTAGGAGTGAGATGGAACTTTAATTGAATCTTGAGGAAAATATAAGATTTGGATATGGAGACACTTGTGGTAGGTAGTGGTGTGATGAAGTGAATATATCCTAGTGATAGCTATTTAAGTAAAGATATAGAAAAGGAACATCTTGAGTTTTGTTTAGAATAATAGCTACTATTGTCTAGGTGTTGAGTTTGGAGAAAATGGAAAGATCTTGAATGTCAGACCACATTTTTTTGCATGAAATTTGATTTGTTTTCCATTTAATAAAGCATCTAGGTTTTTAAAATTATAAATAAAAATAAAGAAAATGTATGAACTAGAAGGCTCTCCTGTTCATATTCACCGTAGATAACGGGGAGGCAGTTAGTAAGAACTCATCCTGAAGTAGATGGATTGCCTCTGTCTTCCAGGCAAGAAACTCAGGTTCTGAACCCAGTTCTGCTCCACTGTGTGGCTCTTATCAAGTTAAGTGCCATCCCCTTGCCTTTAGTTTCTCTAGCCATAAAATAATAAATATTAATAGTATATATAGATGTACTCTAAAACTTTTGAGAAGGAATGAGCACGTTATTGGGTACAGTATTAAGAACAGAAATGACTTATCTCAATGAAATAGGCTACTATTCTTAAAGAGCAAATCTACTCCTATCCTTAGCCTACTTCGTAAACCTATTCAACATTTGAAAGAAATCCTGAGTTTTGTGATTCTTTGCAATGTTAACTTGGGCATACAACTGGAGAACGTAAAAATCAGTAGACACTAAGTTGTGATCTCTGTAATCCCATATTCCTAGATGCTGTGGGAGTCCTCTACAAACAACTGTACCTGTCTGGCTGAACAACCATATTTACTATTTGTAAGCATAGCGCTGGCATTGGAAAATGCTGGGATGCCTCTGAATTACCAGAAAAAGATTAAATTAGAGTCAACTTCAGGTTTCAAGTTAGGAGTACATTTTATTGTATGTCAATATTTTGAAAACTAGGAATAGAAGTCTATAGTGGAAGGATCTTTGGGTGATCTCAAGTGTGTGATTAATCTGCACATCTCTTTCCTTAGCCATTCCAGATAACAAGGATTCTGAATTTGTTTTTATACCTGAGAATAAGATTATTATTCTCAAGGAGAGAAGATTCTTTTAGGAGAATTTGAACTATTGAAAAGAAAATAAAGGTAGCAAATGCACCACAATTTTTTCCTATTAAACATTCTTATAAAACTAACTACAATGTAGGCTTTAAAAATATTTTGATATGAAAGTAGCACTTCAAGAGTTTTTTGGCTTTACATTCTTTTTTACAGCCTTATACAAGAAAAACACTCTTCCTCTGCAATTTTCTGAAGATGATTATGTGTTCTATTTAAAAGTACTTGTTTCCCACCTTTGGGGACTTTGCTCATTGGTAGATTGTTTTAGCTAACAAAAGCACCTTAAAATGTCCTCAGTGGCTTTATTTTATTTTATTTTATTTTTTTTTTGAGAACTTTAGAAGCTTTGGAGCCTGCTCATAAAACAGTTTGAGGTGGAGGCACGCAGTGAGTCTGAGTAGCAAAGAAGCACCAGGAGAATATTAACCTTTGACAGCTCCAGGACTACTCCACCCCAATCTGAAAAAGAAACAAACAAACAAACAGCAACAACCACAAAAACAAATACGAGGATGTAAGGAGGAATATGAAGTCAGTGGAGAGAGGAGAGGGAAGCAGACACCTGGAAAGTTACCGCAGCAAGTAGGACAAGAAACCCAAATTGTGATCATTAAATAAGATTCGTAAATCCTTTCTCTCTGCCTTCGGAATAAAACCATACCCTCCCTGCCTGGAGACCCTAGCCTCCTCCAAGTCTCCAGTAATCCATCCTGGAGAATCGTATGGGACTGAAGCACAGTCCTAGTCCAATCCATTTCCTAGTTTGCAGAGGAAAATCCGGTCCGGTGTTTATTTTTAGCAGCGCTTCCCTGTGACCGAATGCTACAGCTCTTCAGCTGGGATAACTGAGGACCGTATTGGGGAGCGAAGCGAAGGGGGCGGGGAGCGGGAGGCGGTGAAAAGGGGAGGAGGAACGCCCTGCGCATGCGTGCCAGCGCCCATGCAAATCTGCTGTACATCCAGAGAGCAAAGTGGGATGATCTGTCACTACACCTGCAGCACCACGCTCGGAGGACAGCTCCTGCTCGCAGCTCCCAGGCCCAGGTAAAAAAAAAAAAAAAAAAAAAAAATCTGAGCGGGCACCGTGCATGCATTTCAATATCAGATGCGCGTCGCAGCCTATCCCCTGTAGAGGCAATCTGCTGCTGCTGCTAAGTGTCCTTTGGTGGCTGATTGCAGCTTCAAGGTTTAAGCAATCCCATCTTTCAGGAAGCCTGAGGGGAAGGAAGGAAGGAAGTACGGGCGAAATCATCAGATTGGCTTCCCAGATTTGGGAATCTGAAGCGGGCCCACATCTTCCGGCCAACTTCCATTGAACTTCCCAGCACTCGAAAGGGACCGAAATGGAGAGCAAAGGTATGTGGTTGTCCCTATCGGGGGACTTCCCGCTGCATGTGCGTGTGGCCAGGGCAATCCTCAGCGAGGGGACTGCAGTGCTTGGGGAGCGAGCATCATACTAGGTCGATAGGAGGAGGAGATGCTATGTCCGTTGCAGCACCGGGGAAGTGTGGCAGGAAGGCGACTTCTTTTTAACTCCCACAGCTTTGAAGACAGTGTTTAATACTCCATCAGTTGCGTAGTGAAGTGTGATGAGTTTTTTGGGGGGGGTAGCCCCCCCAAAATGGAGGAGGAGGAAAGATGTGTTGGTAAAGCAATTGCTTTTCTGTATAATGGATGGACTCAAATATATTTCATTTGCTTCAGAATTGCTGACAGGCACGTTTGTATCTGATATCCAATAATGCATTGCTAAAAAAAAAAAATGTTTGGATTTCTCTACCCCCACCCCATGAAGATGGTATTTCTGGGTGTGTATGACCACATCCTACTGCATTTTGAATATATATCAGCAGACAAATTTGGTCTATTTGAAATAGCATGCGTTAGAACTGACCTCTAAGAAGAACAGTGTATCGGAGTACTGCTTGGTTCAAAAGCATAATGCATTTACTAGTTCTAAACATGTATATATTAATATTCTCCTCATAAGCAAATCTGCATAATGTACACATACCAAGTGGTAAATGAACTGTAAAAATCAACTTCTGAATGGTATATGTAATACACATAAAGAAATGACTATTAAAATTATAAGATTAGATATCCTTTGGATTTAACCCCATTCTATGCTGGTCTGTTTCCCCTCTTTAAAACGCCCACCAGGTTGTGAGAGCCTTGAGTGGTATGGTCAGATATCCAGGAGGAATATTGGATGTCTTTCATTCTGGTGAAACAGAAGAAATGATGTCAACTTTTATGAAACTATATTCATTACCCAGAACTCGAGAAGCTATATTTGAAACAAGGTTTTATTTTTAAACCAGGAATATGTCAGTCAGTGTGGTAATGTACTCAGAATCAGGGAGTGGTGGTGGGTTACCTATTTCTGGGCTAATTAATAAAACTGGAGTATTGAATGATAGCAGCTATATGTTCTATAAAGTATTTTAAGTATTTAATTAGTAGATTTAAAGTTTTTGAACCTAGGGAAGAATTTACAGTATACAAGGAACTGAATCAACATGGATTAAGACTAACTAGAAATTTTCAGTTTAGACAAGTTATTTTTATGATACATTGATGAATATTTCCATGTCTGACAGTGATGTACACGTATGAGAGGATCCATATCTATAAATATACATGAGGAATATATTTATTAACTCTATTATTGAATCCATTTTAAAATGAAAGCCTGTCTTTCTTAACAAATGAAGGTCTGTAATATTCTTGTTGATGAAGCATTTCTGGAACATGAGCTTAACAACAGAAAAAGAGAGTATCATTTTACTATGGAACAGTGTTTTTGTGTGACACCTGGTATTTGGTCACTGAATTTGGTTATTTGGCAAGAATTCCTGGTAACATTTTTGCCTCCAATTTATACACTAATTCCTGGTCCATCATAAAAAAAGGATATATCTCTCAGCAATAATCTTTTATTTCCCTTTATTGCCCATGAAACATGCTACATGTAACTCAGAGTTCCAGGTGGTTTATGCCTCAGATTGCTAGCTGTAGAGTTCTAGCTATTCTTCTAGTCTTGTGAGTTCAAAAAGGAGAAATAATCTGAGAAATATATCTGAGAAAAATCAGGCCAGAAGTGCTATGCCAATCAAGATAGCAGTGGTATGGTGAATCATAGTACTCAGCTAAAGACAGTGAAGATTTTGCCATAAGCCAGCACTGTGGTCATTTTGCAGAGGTCTCCATAACTGCCTTTGAGAAAAGATATGACAAAAGTCTTTATGCATGTTAATTCCTGCACTTGCTTTATGAAGCTGAGTTAGCCAGTTAGCAATCAGATTAAGAATGGCTAAGTACTTATACTTGGCCTCACTTTCTATGTTGATGCAAATGGCACAGCTAAAAATGGTAGCTAACTTGAAATTTTTATTCTCCAGAAAAACAGAGTGTATTAAGAGGAGAGCATCTATCCATATTTCATTATAATTGGCACATCTTTCATACTTCATGCTACCATGTACAAACTTCTTCCCCCAACAGATTCAAATCTAATTCTAGGAAGACATTCTCAAATGTAAGTACATGTAATTCTTTTTCTATTGGAAACTCTTTAAAAATAGAGTCAAAAAGTCATACTGCATAATTCTGTTGAGGGTTCAAGTGTTTTCCATCTCCCCCAAACCCTAATGGCCCATTTAATCTTGAATCCTGTCACCAGTGTTTGAAAACCTTCACATTGCCTGTAGCATTTGAAAAACCTTTCTTAGAGAACTTGTCCGGAGTGTCCACCAAGTTGAACTTCAGTTATAAATAAATAAGATCAATTTATTTTTCTTCCTTACTTATTACTTGCATCACTCCCAGTCTTCCAGAATAAAAAGAAGAGGAAAACAAATCAATTGGCTTAGGGATCAATGCACAATCTTTATGATTAATATTGTCTCAATGATTTGTTTTGGTGCACAATCTTAGTAGCTTGACAGAATTTGTGCCTTTTGGGTCCCACAGACGTGAAGTTCTTAAATGGCTTAAAGTATTTAGTATTTAGACGAGTGGTTCACAAATTTTGCTGTACATTAGAATTACCTGGCATGCTTTTCAAAAATCCTTATCTGTGGTTGGCACCCCATACCAATTAAATTAGAATGTTGTGGTGGAAGAAAAGCGCAGGTAGTTTTTAAAGATCCCCAGGTATAGCAATGTTTGGGAACCACTGATTTAGACACTTGATAATCAAAATGTGGTTTGCAGACTTGTTTTTTAGAATAGGAGAATCTTGATCTTTACTCCAGGTCTGTTGAATCAGAATCTGATTTTTTTAAATCCCTAGGTAATTTGTATGCCCATTAAGGTTTGATTAGCATTGATTTAGAGTGAGGAAAGGGGGGTCTATCTATCTATCTATCTATCTATCTATCTATCTATCTATCTATCTATCTATCTACTTTATCTCTTTTTTCTTCTCCTGCCTATATCACATTTATCTTTGTTTAGCTAGGTTTTCAACCTCAGGCTGGCAAATTATCTATAGAAAAAACACCTGTAGAACTTTTCAAATGTAAAGATGCATAGCCCATACCTCTAGAGATTCTGGTTTAATTGGTTCTAGGGTAGACCTGGGAACAAGCATTTTTAAATTGCTTCCCAAATTATGCTGATGGGTAGCCAGAGTTAACTACTGATGTAGGGCCTTGCTACTGGTGGTCCATAGACCAGCAGT